GGGGGGGGGGGGGGGGGGGGGGGGGGGGGGGGGGGGAGGCGGAGTGGTGGGTTAGGGGCGGGACGGGGGTGGAGTTGTCGCTGGGGATACGCTTCTCGGACGGGAAGTTTGTTCTCGTCACAGGCTGAATAAGACGGAACAAACTATGCCGCACCTCGGACCGGCCTAGGCTGTTTGCACGTAATACCTGGCCTATGTAGCGAAGGTTGATCAAGTGGGCAACATCGCTCAGCAGGGAGATCTTGAACCTCGACTCTTTCTTGAACAGGTATCGACACATACCGACGGTGCCGAGGATGCACACCTGGATGTCGGTCCACGAGTGGTCGGTGATGAAGTGCGCCTCCCAGGTGCCGTCGCCCAGCGTCGGTCTAGCCTCCAGCGAGGCCCGCCACTCGTCGAAAAACCGCAGGATGTCCATGAGTTCTAGTTTCGAGCGGTCGGCCGATCTGATGTACCCCACCATCTTGTCCAGGCCGTTCTTGCGCGCGTAGTCCGACCGGCCGAAGTTCCCTGCATATATACGCACACACACAAACACGCACACATTTCCCATGGGGGCAGTGGATCTGTCGGGTCAGAAGGCGAGATATGGCGCGCACGGAGAGAACGCAATGCTCATTGGCACAAGGAATTTAGGAAACTAGTAGGCGGGCGACAGGCCCCTTCACGTACTGTACCGCGACGGGAAGAAGCAGTATGACTTGGGATAAAATGAAGAAGCAGTATTTACCCGTTGTCTCGGAGCGCCGCGACTGCACTCAACCGGAACATGGCTCGAGCTGGACGTGGCATGCGCTCGTTTCCTCGAATCCCCCGTATCTTTCCCCCGCCCTGAAAGCATCAATTCAGCCTGTCGGAAGCCATCGCAGTGGGAACGATAACGTACACCGGAACTTGGAAGTAATGCATGCACATCTTCATGGATCGACTTACAAGATCCGGTACACACAACTACCGTGAAAAATGCCGCTAGCGCCTGTCGCCGAAGCTGTAGTATAATCGGGCGGGGGCACGGTATGCGGAGGGTTTCCGCTTCTCTTCGCGGCAGTAGATACAGCAGTTGTTTAGATACATTGTACCACACGCATAACGATAATAGTGACAGGCAGTGTTTTTGTAAAATCTGTATAGTGAAGCCTTACTACTTGAATAATGTCTGCACTCACGGCCAGCAAGAGCTCTCTCGGGCGCGGAACATCGAGGACAAGGCATACCTACCGCAAGCGACAGGGTGCCCGTCAACGTCATCTCACATTGCTAACTGACTCTTTCAACAGCGAGGAACTGAGAGAGAATAACGGTCAGCATATCCAAAACCTAAAAGCTTTTTTTTCTACCACAATCCATGCACTTGTGGCGAATTTATTTTGGTCTTTTCTCGTATGTACCTGTTATAGTATAGACTACATCGACCGGATCCGGAGTAGCAATGTGTGACACATATGTGTATCATTTATGTCGTCATCTTCCATGATCCGCAGTGCCTCCGAGCCTAACTATTAATACTACAGTCGAGGGACCTTCATAGTGCCGGTATGTGTCGAGAGATTTCACCGGCACTTCATTTCGGGCTACAGCAGTGCCTCACCAAGACTAGTCGACGGCGAAAGGGAGGCACACATCATGCACCCGAGTGAGCTGTGACCGGCCCAAACTGCTTGAAAAGCTCTCATTCGTACAAAGCTAAATATCACCCTTCGTTGCCCTCCTTCGATGTTGCAAAATGAAAATCAAGAAACAAAACAATTTATGAGCGCACCAAAGAAAAAACAAAAAGAGCACACAACTACAGCTGTAACCCCCGCCCTTGCTGCATCGCGACAACTCCCTCGTGTCTGCCTTGCGCACCCCCTTCGATGTTGCAACAAAAAACCATACAAAAAAAAAACAGGCAGCGCACCGCAAGAAAACAACCACTGCTACAGCTGTACCCGCATCCTCGCTACGTCGCGACAAATTCTCTCATGTCCGCCTGGCGCACCCGCGTAGCGGAATGCGCTACTATCATCGCCACCTTCGCTTTCGCTAGATAGAGCGCCGCTTCTCCGTTGCCACTCTCCTCTGCTGCCGCTTCCAGGACGCCGAAGTAAGACGACAGTTCACGATACGCCGGTGGGGCACGGCGCACACGCCCCGTGTCCTCATCGCCCCTGTCCTCCTCCTCGCGGCTGGCAGACACGTGCACCCCATTCAGCTGTGCCGTCATGTCGTCTACCGTATCCAGTCTGATAGCCTCAACGACTTCATCATCGTCCTCGATAGTAGCCCACCCCTGAATCGCGTTCACCGCTTCCTCCTCGATCCTCTTTCCGGGTTCGATGCGGAGTTCTGCCAACAGTTCGGCGATGTCCTCCCTTGCAAGGGTGGCCGTGTGGTGCCTGCGGCGTCTTATCCTGTTGAGCGCACAGTTCACCTTCCGCACATGGCATGGTACGCCCCTGCGTAGAGCTGTTCTGGTCTGCAGCAGAACCTGTACCCTACTCCTCTGTCTGGAGTCTGTCCTCTGCCTAGTTGTCTGTGTGTGTGTGCTGTGTGTGTTTTTTATTATTATTAATAGCATCGACCGCGCTAACCGGCTGACCAATGAAAAGACGTCAGTCTTAAGGCGGCTGAAAACACAAAACACTTCAATCTACCACGAACCGGGACCCCGTGAGGGGGCAGCATGGGGGAGGCTAAACTATCCTTCGGATTAAAAACAGAAACAGCAGCAACAGAAGAAAACTGCACCCGTCTACCAAGGCTAATACCTAGTACTCGAGTTCGTTTAGGAGTACTTTCACCAGTGTCCTCCTTGTTTTCGCTACCATCATTCTGATCCTCATTTTCACAAGAAGAATCTCTGGGCAGTTCTTCCCTAGCCCTACGTTTCTTTGTGGGGAAGGTCATCTGGCTCAAACCCTTTGCTCTCTTCCACTCCTCCATGTTTCCTGCTCCATGGTCGTCTTCGTCCTCCTATCTTCCGTTTCCCTTTCCTTCGTCTTCGTCACTCCCAAAAGAACTACCCTCACTACTATCGTAGTCGCAGAGATCCCAACCGATTGGCCCTGGTGGAAGTTGGTCGATCAGTAGCCCATGACGTTTGAACACATCGCGAGTTCGCATCGACAGAAAACGAGCTAGCTCGAAGGTAAACCGTCTCCGAATCCTGTTAGTATGAAAAGCTTTCAGGCGAACTAAGGCCCTCTCGTCGTCAAAATTTTCCCGGCAAAAAGCTTCGTGCGCCAAGTGGTTGGCGATAGCAACGATGAGTCGATTGGTGCCTTTGCCAAGACCACCATTCGTTGAAAAAGCAGCAGTAAGGAGGGTAGATCTAGACGGGTTGAAAGTTCCCGCATAGTGATTTGCCTTACTTGCAGCTCGATCTTCGAGGGCGGATCGTGGCTTAAGGATCGACTTGTCGATGCTTCGACCTGCGGATGGGTTGGCGATTGCAACGTCCATGAGAATGGACTTGGTGCAGAGTTCCTCTTCCTTGTCTCCTGCGTGTAATCCTGGGGGGTATGGGTTGGCGATTGCAACGTCCATGAGAATGGACTTGGTGCAGAGTTCCTCTTCCTTGTCTCCTGCGTGTAATCCTGGGGGGTTTACCAAATCCATCTTGTATAGCCCCTTTCCCCTACCACTGCCTGTGATAAAAGGGGAAGAATCCTCAACGGCGATGGGCAAATGGCACTCGCGCAGTGTCTTGAGGA